TTTTTAACTTTGACTTACAGCTCTCTGGAAATACGACCTAATTTTCAAGTTTGTCACCCTGTTATTAAACGCAAAACTTTACACATGAATTTTAAACTAACATTCAAACTTAAACTCGCCGTAAGTAAACGAAAATTTGTGATGAAGGTTGTGTTTAAAACCGGAGTAAGGAATCTTGAAGGAGCAGAACGTTTAAGATAGCGTAATGAAATGCAAATTCCCTTAATATTCATTTCTGTAGTTAAATATAAGACTCATTCCCCTATTTCAGAATTCCAAAAACGTATAGGCACTAGGCAGGCGCTTTGATCATTAAAAGCGAAATGAATTGCTTCAATTTCCAAAGTGTTTCCATTATTTACGTTTCACGTTGGTTTTTCTGCGTTAAAATATTAAAATCGATCGGTTTGTACAATGAAACCAAAGACATTAAGAATGTGATTTATTCTCAGCGAGTCTCTGGACTTTGAAAATTGTTGGTTTTATAAGATACTCCGTAACAGAATGCCTCTTCCTAAACTTCGACATTACAAGGCGACGTCAAGCAGAGTATAAGGAATCCTTGGTCATTTTAAGGGAACTAAGTGAAATATTAAAGGAGGAGTCGATTTAAAGTACTATTGGGCGTAATGGCTTCGTATTGATCTTGATGGCTACACATTTTTTGGTTTCTACCGGTCAAGATTAGTTCGGAATCGTTTCTTTCTGGCAGATCAGTTCCCTCTCTAGAAAATCTATCGACTGGATGCCAACGTGTCACCTCAAGAGCTACTGATAAAATTAGTCATAAATTGAGGCAGTATTCGATATTCGTGTTCTTGGCACAGGTACCCCATCATATGGATCCCTCTCCTTGTATCTGTGATAAAACGTGTAGAAGACGAAAAGAAATAGAAATACCTTGTCAGCGACGCCATGCTTCATTCACTCTATTCGTAACTTCTGTTTATGGATTCCTTTAGAACCCTCTTGGGAAGATTCAGTGAACGTTTATTTGAGAAAGGTACAATCATGTTGGCTGCGATTAAAATTGGATGTGCTATGGTAAGAGCAAGCAGTATGTGTCTCAGAAGAAGTCGCAAAAAATGGCGCTCTGTTTTAGAATTTGTGTAAGAAATTTTTAACGAGTAGGTAACTATGGGAAAATTGAATCGAAATTTTTACGCGAATTTAAAATTTTATCTGGTCAGGTGTTGATAAAAAACAGTTATCAAACAAGGATTAATTGGTTTTTCGACAAACAATGCCACTTGCGAGATAAACGATGCAGGTGCTTTATCATTTCCGGCGACGTAGAGATATTTCGAGCGTCCATGTTTAATTTGTTTTTGCTTAAATATAAAGAATGAAGCATAAGCGAGGCTGTCTCTGATTATTTTGAAAGAGATCCCAAATATCTGTGACGCTAATTTTGGAACCTATAGTCGAGCCGTCTATGCAATTAAAAAGAAAAAAAAACGGGCACGTTTTCGAATCACCTGTGTCTTCGTTATCAGCTCCACAAGTGAATTTCTTTGAAATCAATTAACTTTTGTCCGAAAAACGCTCCTTATCGCAAACGAATAACTAAGACCTCTCATACAGTACGCATAGTTAACCAGATGTGTCTTAGTTAGTTTTTACCAAATTGAATAACTTAAAAGTGATAAAATTACAAACTTCTAAAAGGAAAACCAAACACTGAAATACAAATTCAAACGCAACGAACTAACTGTTTATTTCGAAAATAATCCTCCAGGTTGGCAGGGAGTTGAAAAAAACAAAGTAGAGCACTAATTAGATCGACTAAATGGAGGAAAGGTGGCAGTGAAGGTCTTAAAAATGAGATATAGACAAACGCCACAGCTGATGGAAAAAGGGGAAAATTAAGTAAACCAGTAATGGAGTGAAGACTATCAGAAAAGTGAGATTGATAATACTCCTGACGTAACTGAACAATACAGAAATAATTGCAACAAAGGAAAACGTAAGAATAACGTGCAGGTTATCTGTAGAAAACTTTATTGTGACCACACGAAATAACGCAAAATAACGTTTTTTGAAAGATTAACGTTTCTGATACATCACAGGGCTCATTATGAGAAAGAATGGATAGATACTGGGAAAAGGGTGAGTACAAACAGTGACAGAATTTAATTACCTTTTTCCCGATACCTTTACCAGAGCTCACCAATCGACCAGAATTCATACGTATTCCTGTGTATTCCAGATCGGTTCATTCGTTCATTATTCTTGTAAATTCCAGATCAAAAACCATAATTATCTTTTTCCGTTGATTTTCCAATCACCAGATAGGTTTTCGTTTAATTCATAATTAATTTTTCCCAAGACCTCTTGATCTGTATTAAGTTATGATTGCTTACTTGCCTGGCCAGCCGCAACGACAATTCTTGTGGGGTTTACAGGCCTGCAGACTACCGTTACCTACAATGGTGTTTTGATTCCGAACTCGATTGACGCAGTACTGCGAGTTGGTCGAAAGGTTCAACTGGTTTCCAATAGGGTTGTTTGAATCGTTCGGAATATTCCTTTTAATGGACGTATGCTAGGTAAACCTTAGTCGACTTTATTTGGAAACTGGAATGCCAGTTCTTTTTTAAGAAAAGTAGAGTGTTTTAGAACCTTTGTTACGTTCACTTTGAGAGAACGTAACAAAATTACCATAAGATAGGCGAACGAAAAAATGAAGCAAAAAGGAAATACAGTAAAAAAAACCGGATAGGCAGCACTTGGTCTTTAGTAAATGTAAAAAGAGGTGAGAGAATGCTTACCGAAAGGAGAAACAAGGCAGACTAAGGGCCGATTCTACAATGCAAGTATATACCGAGAATAAACTATACCTAGAATAAACGTATGTACGTAATGTAGTGGATAATTACAAGTTGATTGTACCGAAAACCATTATGTAAATAAACGTTATTATCCAAGAAAATTCGAAAAATAACAAAATTACCCTTGAACTCTGATTGTAACGGACTTGTGAGCTCAGAAGGGCGCTTTTCTGCCTTATCTATTTACGGTATCAACACAATCAAACAAACGACAGGAATTGTGAGTAGCACGCCACAAAATATTGCGGTAGCAATTGCTAACTTCTGACACTAGGGTAAATCGTATACCAAAACCGTAATTAATACTAAATAAGAATCAATAATTCCAATGACTTTACACTAGGGAAAGCAAAATTTTTATTGACAATGAATTATTGTCTGTACAAATCAGTGTCTAAAGGCATGAAAGTGACGTTAACTACATTACGATGCACAAATAACTAAATTCGTATGCAACAAACGTAATCAAATTGATTCAAAATGTAAATGAGTGACACAAATAATAACGTAACTAAAACTCGTAGATATCTGTTTCGGACTAGGTCTTGGTAACTAAACTAATTTACAATTCAAAAGCAATTAACTAAATCAGTAAACAGACTAAAATAAATCTAAGTAGGTCACCAGGTAATATAGGTAGAATCACGTGACTGATTTGATGCAAGATGGCGGTGGAATTTTCCAAGGTATGGTGGTCAAGATCGGCTCAAATATTTCCCAATTGATGTCGACTTATAGTGTCCAGGTAGATAATCTCGAAAAAGTAATCCAGAAACGAACTATGAGAGAAACTTCGGAAACTGTGAGGGAAGATAAAGTCCTACAAAAATACTTGAGCCATATCCGTACATACCTCACACTAATTACTTAGAAATATATATCCGCAAAGCGTATTCAATGGGGCAGCCACAGTACATCAGAAATAGAGTGAAACACTCCAAAGAAATATGGTGATATCCAATACCAAGAGCCCTTATTCAGGTAGACAATAAGTCAAGTAAAAAGTAATGGAGTAACGAGAAAAATTTGCACGTACCCAATATGAAGGCAAGATCTTCTCTGAAGGGAAAAATACAATATTGTATGCAAGGCCAAATTAAGGAAGGGATATATTCAAAAGTATCACGGAAGACATCTGCATAACTTCTGGCGGCGAGACAAAGAACTATTCTAAATGAAACATCGGATGGTCTTTAGCGGGGAAAAATTGAAAAATTAACCAATCTACTACATGAATAGCTTACATCTAAACTAAACCGCTTTAAAAAGGAAATACGTAGATGGGCCAAGAATACTAAATGAGAGAGTATTTAAACTGTGAGGAAAAAAACGTAACATCCTAAGAATCAATCGACATTACATTCCACAAGGGGAATAAAATAAGTGAAGGGCTATTTTATTTCGACACACCATTTCCGAGCTTTGACAGAAAACCGTTGACACAACGGCCACCCGTTTCAACTAGGAAGTGTAACATTTAATTTATTACATAATTAATCAGTCTTTAAAACTATTCCGGCCAGCCGGTTAACGTTATCCGAAAACAAAACCCAAAGACTATGAAAGAAAACCCAACTAGAAGGGATCGAGTGACAACTGAGTAGGTGTCGAAATACTTAAGAATGATGGGAGAATATTAAATTCGCAGTGTGCATGTGGAAATGAAAGATTATAGAGAAGAGGAAAGAAATTTATTGTAAAGAATGTGTTGAGAAAGAGGACGATGCAGATCTAATATCAGATCGGTAGAAAGGATGAAGAAAGGCAGTTCGTAATAATATTAAAAAAAGGAGGGAGGGTGAACATAATAGATAATAAAACACAAAAAAAATGAGAAGAATGGGAGAAAAGTGGGGGAGGGAATAAGTTACAGAAAGGGATTTTTTTTCGTTTTGGTATATTATGTATAGGTATTCCGAGGTTTGAATGTTTCACCCAAAGGTATCAAATATGGTAAATAAACAGATACTCTCCATTTTGATTTAAATTGCAATCGCAAAATTTATTCTCCACGCCATTACATCCAATTGCATCGGAAAGGTAATAACTTCCCAATGAATATGCAGATGTTGCTTTTTCTTTCCATTGGGGAAATTATCTATACTTTCGCATGCTTAATTTTTGCTCACGTAACTGATGTTTCCTATAGGAAATATAAATTTCACTTACCGAGTTTGAAGTAGGTAGTACATTTGTCTGCGAGCCAAAACAAAGAGAAGAGGATTAGCGGTCGGGAACGCAAGCGGGATCGATTTGAGATGAGACATTGCATCATCAATAGACAGTTTCCCAATGACGTTATCGGCTCGTTGATTTAAATTCATTGGAATTTCTCGTCTTAGTTCTATTTTCGTATCGCAATTTGCAGCGCACCATTATCGATATCGAGAACGTCTTCCAACAAGTTTGAAATTTTACTCTCTTGCTTTCTGAATAATTTACGGCTCATTTTGCTGGCGGCGGCGTTGCGAATGGCAGGCGTAAATTGACATCTTGTACAAGGCAAATAACACGAGAATTTTTCATGAAGGTGTAAATAAAAAACAACTGGCATTGGACTAAAACGATCTGTCCATCACGTGAAAAAGTGTCTTTGAGCACAGCTACCGTAAATGCTTTTGATCATCAAAACCTTTCCTCTTATATTAGCGTTTCAATTTTAATTTCTAATGCAGTGTCGCGCTAGGGTAGTTTTCTGCATTGCAGTGTCTGCACTATGCATTAAAAGAAAGACTTTTAGTTCAATGAATTTGCGAGCGCTCCCTTCGGTTGCCGTTGCTCATTCAAAACTTTCGACTACACTCTCCAAAAAGGGACCACATACAAAGAACGTTTTATCTCAATTATTTAAAGCGGTCTCTGTCAGCTGCTCAATTCTTTATGTGGATATGATTTTTACCCGTTGGTAATGTAATTGGAAGAAGAAAATGATAGTGTATTGGCGCTATGCATTAAACTTTGGTAAAATATTCCGTAGAGGAATTCAGACCAACAGACACAATCAAAGGCATTTCTTCTCCTGCACAGTTTTTGATAAGAATTTCATGGACGACTGCTGCTGGTACTCTGATAAACAATGTTTTCGGTAAACCTTCATTAAACCTTCATTTTCATTCTTCATTAAAGTTTGGAAATTTTCGTTTCCATGACAGTGGCAGTAACACTTTACCTGAATACTAATCCTGTCCATGCAAATTGTTGGCCGGTAATCTGTGAGGTGGTCACTTGAAGCGCTAGGAATGAATGCGAATGCCGCTCTCATTCGTTAAACCTTGGTACGTTACAGACTCCTCCTCTGGCTGCCAACGTCGTCTCGGCGATGGAGACAGGATTTAGTTTCTCTTTTTTTGTGGCCTGCCCAGTTTTCGGATTGGTCCGATAGGTTCTGCTGAGTCGTTTCCTTTATAGTGTTGTAGTGCAGAGACGTGGTATTTTTCAGGAGGAACCCCTGGGTTATGTGGATCCGCTCATGGCTATTGGGCTGTTGTAATATCACCTATCCCACACGTCTCTTCGGGGGTTAAATTTGGATGTGACTCCTTTTGCTGCGTTGCTGATGGCGTGGGAGGTTACTAGTACTTGGTCTCCTGGACCGAATGTTGGACCTGGTTGTTTGGTCTTGCTGGCGTACTCTTTCTGGCGGTATTGAACGGGTTCTTTCGTTAGCCGTACTAGACGTATGGTGTTTTTACATGTAGTAGCTTTGGGACGATAATCGGGATGAAGTTCTTCGCGAGGATTATCTGTCTTTGGTCCCTGGTGGAAGCGACGGAACGACGACGGAAGTTTGGGTATGGGGGCGATGTCCTCCATAATGTCCTGCCGTCGGGGCGTCATGATACTCCTTGAGTATGTCTGCGCGGTACTATCCTGGGACGACTTGCTGAGTGGATTCGGCTTTAGGAGAGTATCGATACAATATCTTCTGACTGGCTGTCCATCGAGAGAGATCCACTGGGTTTTTCTCTTGAAGCACTGGACGATTTCGAGATCCGTGAGTTGGGCTTGTCGGATGTCTGCAGCGGACCGTGTAGGGAGGTCGATGGTACTTAGCAGACCTCGCACGTCGGCTGTGTGTGGTTGGGCAATCCCAGCAAACACACTTTACGTTTAAAAACGGCTTTAAAGCGCCTTGAGAGGATAAATTCGGTATTATATAGTATTGCTAGTATGGTATACATTTTTGTGTAGACCGATTTCATACCTACGTTTAAAACAGGATTTTTATTGACATATAAACCATAGATTTAACTTTCTACGTTGTTAATACGTATAGAAATAACCGTTTTCTACCATTCGTTTTATAAACGTATATAACACCACTTTTTTGATTTATGATGACGACAAGGTCATTTCCAGTTGACGAGTATTGACCAAAATTGGATCAGTTACTCCCATGACCATTGTCTACTTATTACTGAAAACAGAATTGGAAACCGTTCACGAGTTATCATCTACATTCTACACAGACGAACGGATGGACAGAAAGTCCAAAATCATAAACTGGTTTTTGTCACTATTTGCAGTAAGATGAGGAGTTCGAAGAAGAAAATTTATGATGACAAGGTTACTTCCGGTTGATGAGTATTGACCAAAATGTAATCATTTAGTCCCTTGACCGTTGTCTACCTATTACTGAAAACAGAATTGGAAAATTCGAAACCGTTCGCGAGTTATCATGTGCACAAGCGGACGGAGTTATCATGTACCCAGACGGACGGACAGAATTGCCGACCCGTGTGGCGCAGTTCAATTGAAGCTGGACTGTGGTAGGTACTAAGGGTACCAGGTTTGAATCCGGATTCGGTCATGGATATATATAACATAAAAGTAAAAATAAAATAAAAAAACAAATAAATAAAAGACCAAACGACTAAATTTAATCAGTTAGTTCCTTTTTCATTGTCCATCTATTACGGAAAACAGAATTGAAAAATTCGAAACCGTTCGCGAGTTATCATGTACACAAACCGACGGACGGACGGACGACCGGACAGAAAATCCAAATGACCAAAATTTAATCAGTTACTTCCTTGACCATTGTCCACCTATTACTGAAAACAGAATTGTAACTTTCGAAACCGTTCCTGTGCAAGTCGTTTAGTCAGGGGCTGAGTCAGTCCAGAGAATCCGGGCACGAAACGGCGGTACCATGAGCATGTGTAAACGTCATGACTTCCTTTACGTTCCGAGGCGTGACCATATGGCTGATGGGCGTAATGATGTGCCCCAGGTATTTAACATGTTGGAAGGCGAAGTGGCACTTTTGCCGGCGAACGCGAAGTTGGAACTGCTCCAGTCGCCGAAATGCTTGCTCCATTATTCATAAGGTGCTGTTCGGCGTCCTTGGATATAGCTGTCGAGGTAATCCAGGAGAGGCACTTCCGGTATCCCGTTGCGGAAGCGGTCCATAAGATTGTGAAAACTGGCTGAGGCCTTTTTTTAACCCAAGGAACATTCGTTTGAAGCGGCACAGCCCAAAGGACGTCACGAAGACGGTCTTATCCTTATCTTCGGGACGCATGGTTATTTAGGAGTGTCCTGTTCCCAAGTGTAAGGTACTGGTGCAGCGGGACTTTGCTGCGGACAGCAGATCTTTTGTAGTGGATAACAATCGGAGACTGTGTTGGTCAACACATTGGCGGGTTGACCCATCTGACTTTGACGAGGCCCAAGCAGAGTCACATTCCTCGATTGCATCGCTGTCCAGCATGGCAGTTCCTCTCATAGCAGGTTGGAGTTAGGATGCTGGAAGATGGTAACTCGTTGAGGCGTCCGCTCATTTCGGCGGGTAGGTCATGCCCCTCGTCTACCCTTAGCTCGTGGGTGGCTTTCTTCAAGTGTGGTACTCCGGACGGCGCTGCTTCTTTTTTCGGGGTGAATGCGGGAAGAGAGATGCGAGTCCCTTAGTTCAGCGTGCAGGTCCGCAAATTCGGAATCCAGTTCTGGGGTAAGCGGAGATGGCGGTGATTCACCAAAAAGTCTATTCAAGCGCCCGATTCGGCATTCGTCTACACGTGACGAGCGATCAAGGACGTCAGTTCGAGGCCAGCCTATTCCAGAAAACAGCCTCACCGAATTTAAGCGCATGCGAAGGACAGCCTCTACCACCCGCAGGCAAATAGAATGGTAGAACGTTTTCATAGACAACTCAAGACTGCTCTCCGTTGCCACAAGATTAATTGCAGGGTAAGGTAAGGTAAGGTGAGGACATTGTTTCGGTTTCCTGCATTAGCTTCTTCGTAAATACTGCTACCGAACACGATTATTTACTATTCCCGCTGTGTGCGTTTTAATTTTGTTTTAGCATCCACCACTTTCACCAGTAGCCTTGACCAGCAGCAAGGCCGTACCGTTGGTGGCGCTCGAGTCCGTTCGTCCGTCCGTCCGTACCACCGACAAAACCTCAGGTTGCTGCCGATTGCCGCTACGTTTGTCGTTATTTCGCTATTGCTTATTTAATTTTTCACGCTATTTGTGCGTGACTTACTATCGAAGTTCGTCGCAATGTTTAAGATCATTGAATAAAAACACTGTATAGTATTTATTAAATGTTAATGCTACATTACTAGCTAATGACTATAATCGAGGCCTACGATACACATCGTAGGCCTCACTATAATATATAAATGCAACTAGTTTCCATTTCCAAGGATAAGTGGTTTATGAGAACGTGATTTCAGAGCGAAAAAAGTTGGGAAGTGAAACAATAAATCTTTTAAATTCGCAATTTTTACCTTCCATAAATATGGGTGGGCTACAGCAGCTTTACTCTTGTCGCTATCTTAGGTAGGCCCATTTTTTGTTCTATGTTTTCGGTTAGCTAAAGTCAAGAAATCGGTCAAAGGACTTCAATTTGTACGTTACTCATTGAATCCTTAGAAAACTTCTAACTAATTCTGTAACAGAACGGGAATATAATTTCAAAAGAATTTCTCAGTAACGTTTTCTAGCATAAAGCCGGAAAATGAGAATTAAAAATAGAAAATGCGAGGTATTGTTCTTGTACATGCCTGTGCTCTACGTTAGTATGAATAGTGGATGAAAGCTGATATTCGCTCTGGCTTTTCGATTGTGTTCTTGCAATAGAGCGTGCCTGTTGCGCCAATATCAAGTTATGAGTGAAGAAAGAAGGGGAAATAAATTCTTATGTCACTATCGCGCTGGATATTATTTATTGGCACGCAAA